AGCCCCACAGCTGCCGGCGACGGGGCTGGACCCTGGCGGGGGCTGGACTGGAAAATAGCAGAGAGCTTGGGTAGCCAGGACGCATCCGAGAGGTAGGAATACACTGGTACAGGAATAAGTAATGATACCCTGCTTGTTGTTCTCCATAATACATCTTTTCAAGTTACCTCCTCCTATCTCTACAGTCTCACAGTCACTGTCCCGACACCCGGGGCGGGGAGTTGCCTGCAGGGACATGAAGGGTTGGGCTCCAGCCCACCCAAGCCAAAGGGCCCCAGGGCTGCACTCAGCAAAATCCAGCCAAAGGCCAGCCTGGGGCTAAGCCAGGAGCTGCACCAGTACCCAGGGCCACTCCAACCAATCCCCCACAGCTCCTGGTGAGTCCATGCCCCTTCCTCCTCCGGCTCACAGCAGGGGCCAGGGGCAGCAGGGCTGCAGGGAGCAGGTGAGGCCTTCTCCTGCCCAGCCACCATCCCACCTGGGGATACCTACAGCACTGCAGCTGGCACAGCAACAAATCTATCTGACAGGACAACACGTGGGACTCACCAGAGGAAGAACCTCTAACATCAGCAGTTACTGAGGCCTCCTTTAGAGAAGGGGCTTGCACCAAAGCATTTAAACAAGACGCTACGTCACAATCCCCTTCCTTTCCTCAGAACGGGGAATGTTGGTTTTCGGTGAGAGCAGACCCGTAACTCCTGCTGGGGAGGATGCTCCAGACTTCACAGCCACATATGCAAAAATATTACAGAGCTCAGGAGAAATTACATCACCACTGCACAGGTTCCCAGTAAAGATGCAGCACTACACAGCACATCCCATCACTGAAAGCTTCCCTACGTTATGTCCCAGGGTAAGAGTGCTGAGTACGTGACTCCACCTCCCAAGTTAATCACCCGTGCACCAGATGAAGAGGACAACAGCCAATTCAGCTGGCACCGGGAAGCTGCAGACAAATGTATTTCATCTCATGCCTTGTCCCAGTGACTTTAAAAGAAGTATTGCTGTATTGGTGGCTTGGGTTACTGCTGTGGTTTAACCCCAGCTGGAAGCTCAGCCCCTAGCAGCCACTCACTCACTCCCCTCTGGTGGGATGGGGGAGAAAATTGGAAGAGTACAAGTGAGAAAACTCCTGGGTTGAGATACAGGCAGGTTAATAGGGAAAGCAAAAGCCACGCGCACAACCAAAGCAACACAAGGAATTCATTCCCCACTCCCCATGGGCAGGCGGGTGCTCAGCCATCCCCAGGACAGCCGGGCTCCATCCTGCGGAACGGTGACTTGGGAAGACAAATGCTGTCGTTCCAGATGTCCCCCCCCCGTTTCCTCCTCCTTCCCCCAGCTTTACGTGCTGAGCATGACATCATATGGTGGGGTACCCCTGGGGTCAGTCGGGGTCAGCTGTCCTGGCCACGCCCCCTCCCAGCTCCTTGTGCCCCCCAGCCCAACACTGGTGGGGTGAGAGGCAGAAACGGCCTTGGCTCTGTGTCAGCCCTGCTCGGCAGGAACAAACACATCCCGAGGTTCTCAACACTGTTTTCAGCACAAATCCAAACCACAGCCCCATACCAGCTACTGTGGAGAAAATTAACTCTACCCCAGCCCAGACCAGCACA